CAAAGAATAACCTGTGGGAACTTCACTTGTAATATGTATCGATTAGAACTCCATGGCTTCACTTGTATTAAGTAGCGACCAGAACTGAAGAACATATACAGTACTAATTTCGCCTCTAAAGCTGTCGTCTTCAAAATTGGGAAGGTGACGATTGGAAGAGAGCTGCAGGATGAGCATGGGTGTGATGTTGATGAGGTTGGCATCACACCAATGAGTTGGCACTCTGAAAAACTTGGTGGAAAGTATCGCCTGTACCTGGGACTAGTAAAGAAAAGTGCTCTTAAAGTCCATTGTCTAATGAGCGTATGTTTATTGGAAATTCTTTGTAGCAAAAATGCCATTGAAAAATCGGATATCTTTAACAGCAAAGAATAACCTGTGGGAACTTCACTTGTAATATGTATCGATTAGAACTCCATGGCTTCACTTGTATTAAGTAGCGACCAGAACTGAAGAACATATATAGTACTAATTTCGCCTCTAAAGCTGTCGTCTTCAAAATTGGGAAGGTGACGATTGGAAGACCTCTTACAACAAGACCCGATAAAGACATTAAAATACCTAAGACGGTGCCTCCAACATCATTTGCCGTTACTGGTAACGTTGAGGAGTCTAATTCTAAAAACGAGGGGATTACCACCAACTCATCAGAAAAAAGTGCGGCTGTCCTTATAAAATTGGTAAGGAGCCGATTTGATGGCCTGTCATAACAAACCCCCACAAGGACACTAAAATACCTAAGACGGTGCCCACAGTATCATAACTTTAGGCTTGCTCATTTTAAGGGAGATTCGTGTCCTGATCTTGTCAGGGTCAGGCTATTTCTCAATATTTTTAATTCGACCCTCGTCTAATGGTTTTGCGTTCGTCATATTATCAGCCTTGAGCTTCTTTCCTTTTAAAGCAAGTAAATTTGCACTTTCGTGCCAACTACTTCCGAGTGGCCTGGTACCAATATGATGAAAAGCTTACCTCTGTGTCCGTAATCCTGTGTGCCCACTCAAAATACATACCGACATATTAACCTCAGACTTGCTCATTTTGAGGAGGCTTCTCGTCCTGCTCTTGTCAGAGTTACCCCAAAGGTGTTTGTGGTTCTCCACCCACTGTTTCATTATTACAAGAGAATGGGATACTCTCGACCATATTTTTACTTCTCGTTGCGTCTAATGGTTTTGAGTACGTCTAACTAACTACCTCGAGCTGCGTTCCCTTTAAAGGAAGTAAATGTGCTTTTTCGTGCCAACTACTTCTGAGTGGCCTGATACCCATATGATGGAAAGCTTACCTCAGTGAAAGTATTAGTTTAAAGCTATCTAACAATCCAATATGGTCTGAATCCGTACGTCCAATTTTGAATAGTTGAGTCCGTAATGCAGTGTGTCCACTCAAATACATACTATCATACTAAACTCAGACTTGCTCATTTTGAGGGGACTTCTCGTCCTGCTCTTTTCAGGATCACCACACAGGTTTTTTGTCAATATTTTTAGTTCGGCCCTACATCGAGCTCTCTTCCCTTTGAAGCAAGTAAATTCGTTATTTTGTGCCAACTACTTCCAAGTGATCTGGTACCTATATGATGCAAAGCTTAACTATGTGAAAGTATTCGGTTGTAGATTTCTTACAATCCAATAGGATCTTAGATTTAACCTTATCTCTAATTGCCTTTTTAACATATTTACCGACAGCCAGAATTTTTTCTAATCCAATTTACGTATTCCGATATTGCTTGGACTTCTGCCTGAAAACTAGTGTTGTGATTAGGTAGAAAGTAGTAAATATCTATTTTATTAATATTGAACCCAGGCCTGTTTGTCTCCCAGTTTGGAGTTATCCGTACAGCAATGGTTTCCTACGAATATTTACTCTAATGTTTTGCCTGACCATGACATTCTATCTGGGATCAGTGTTTCAAAGTTCCCGACATATTCTGTGACTGCTATGCCTTCGGGCATGTCCAATGTCTGTGTATAGCTTTCCAATGTGACAGTATACATTGATGATGATGTCCTATAACCGGTTTTGGTCAGTTCCCTTAGAATTAAACAATTAGTGAAATATTTAGCAACGTTTCCAGAGCCTTAATTGACGTAGTGGTCATGGCACCACTTATGCCCGAACAACATGTATGGCGAATTCCTTGTAATAGTTATGTCCAAAGAAGTCCAACAGATTATTGACGCATAAGTTATGATTCTCCTACATAGTGCTCTGCATCAATGTGCCTTGTTGATCCAATCCTCTTGAATTTCCGGATAACACCTAAGTACTTTACACTTTCGCTCACTAGTATCTTCTTGCAGAGGAAACAAGGTCCAATATACATTGCGATTTTTGTCTTTCTTGTGAAAATATAGATTTTCGTCTTCGCCGGGTAAACGTTGAGGTAATTCTGTTGAGCCCAGTTGAATGCCGTAATCTTCCGCCCTTTTACACAATCCTTTTCTCTTAGAAGTACTAGATAAAGTCGGCATATCAGACAGGTCTAAGTCCTTTCTCGGTTAGCGTCTTTAGGAGCTTATCAATTGTGGTTTCCCAGAGTAAATGGGACAAAATGCCAAATTGTGGTATACTGCAATATACGTTTTTCTTAATACTTATACTGCATATATCGCACCCCCGGGGCATGTTTCCTTGATGAAAGACCCTTCTTGGCGTGATTGTAATTCCGGGGAAAAGAGGTGCTAGCTGTACCTCTAGTCTGCCGGGACTATAAACTGGCGATAATCAAATGTATCCTAGGCCTTTCCTTGGATTGATTTGACATGGGGTCGAACCAGAGTACCACATAATCTGAAATCAGGGGAACCTGTAGCCCAAAGGGCAGGGTTTCGTACTTTGTCTTGTCCCGGTTATTGGAAAGGTTTCTTCGGGTGCACGTTGTTGTGACTGGGACTAAACATTGGAAATAAGTTGGTGTTAAGTGTAATGATACAAGATGAATGTACGCGTACACAGATCTTAGAGTAAGTGTGTCGAATGAATGAGAAGTGTGCTGGGTTGAAAGGTGATGGATGAAAGGTATCTTATACAAGTGATACCATTGAATTTGCCTATCTTGTCCAGGTATGTTCAGAGCGAATTCTGTTCATACCAGAATTACTACAGTGTCTTCTCTGTGAGTAAGAACAAAGTCCTCGGCTTATTTGGTGGATTCGTGTTTCGGTCTGTCGAATACGTCTCTAGGTGCTGTTGTCGCCTCAACAAATGCCATCCCATATGCGTGATTGTAAAAGAAAGTAAGCAACGCGGCAGCAATGGTCAGAGATTAGACAGCTGGAATATTTGAACAAGACAGCTCGAGTATTTGAACACAAGGGGGCGTTTGTGAGTCGTCACAAAAGCTCAACCTGTGGTTGAAAATGAAATTGCAGGTGTTCACGTAAAGCATTTCTACACCTCGCAGCTTATCCATCCGTTCTTTTTCATGTAGTTGATGCAGTTACGGAGCACCCGGTCAACATGAAACTGTTCTAAGAATTGGATAAGTGTATGATCGATCTTAATGTATGCCACCAGCGCAAATAGTTTGCTATCGAAGTATTTGTCGGAAGGATTAATGCGGTCTTCACTAATCGTCCCTTTACATAAGCATTCTATTTGTTTGTATTTCAGGTCTTTGTAAGGAATAAGTCTAAAAGTAATATGTTTCTGAATATTGAACAATAATTTCTTTCACAGATCGCTATATAAGGATTTTCTATGTAAAGGAGCATATAATAGTTCTTATAGAGGCATAGCTTTATTATTATACATCCTCGTTTTAATTTAACTTTGACTTATGTAAAAAGTTGAAAACACTCAATTCAGATCCGGTCTCAATAATTCTATGTTTTATAGGGAAATTAGATTTCGAACTTCGTCCACGAAACTGGGTTTCTGAGCATGGGACGATGGTTCCATCCATATAAGGGTTTTCCCTTAACATTTTTCATGAAAGGGAGAGCTGTTCTGATGTAATGTTGAACATCATCCTCACAACTTATCTTAGCCTTATTTAGGAAGTCGAAAACACCCAATTCTGAACCGGTTTCGATAATGATTGAATAGTGATGGTAATATTATGCTTGAGTTGTTATCAACTTGAGATGATTTGATTTGGAAATTTCAAAATCTTAATGTCATTCTTGCGATGCTAAAATCGGACTAATTTTAGTATATTTCCAGAATTTAAAGGATTTAAAATTGTAGTTTTTTTTTCTGAGTTTTTTTTTTTTTATTTAAATTGTATTTTATTATTATTCATTACCGTTACTGATACAAACATTTTAATAGAATAAATATATAAAGTATACTTGTTTTTAAAAAATATGTTGTTTGGTTTTTGTTTTTTTTTTTTTTTAATAAAATTATAAAAAAAGAAACATTAACTTGTTGAATAAAATAGTAAATATATATGTAATTAATTAAAAATTAACACTTGATAATTATATGCATAATAATTATTTAATAAATTAATTAAAAGTTTTAACTGATTTGAAGTAAAATTCAATAGAAACAAAATAACAATTTAAATATATATTTTAATAATAATAATAATAAATAATATGAACAATATAAGTATGTAATAATAGATTAGTTATTTTTTTAAAAATTTATTTTGATTTGTTAAATATTTTTGTGGTTGGTTAATTTTTTGAAAAACTTTAAATATTTTTTCAAATTTAAAAAAAAAACATAAGTTATTTTAAAGAGAGTTAGAGAGAGACTTTACGATTAGTTAAATTTCTGGGAGAGCAGATATTTTTTTGTTTTTGTTTCTATAAATTATTATTATTAGTTTTGTTGTGTTAATTTAATGTTTTCGTTAACAAACTAGGCTTTTTTATTCAGACGATTCTACAACAGAGATGGAGATGATTAATTGCTATTAAATTATATAGTATATTAGTTTAGTTTCATTTTACACATTAGATACATTCCGATACCATTTTTAGTTTTATATAGTATATATATTTTTTATTTTAAATTAGATATTACGATTTTTTCATTCTTTCTTTTTTTGTTAATTTTTTTGTATTTTGTTTTCATATTTTTGTTTTGTGTTTTATGTTCTTATTAATTCATGTCATAAGTTGTTAAAAGATTAAACTTAAAAAAAGAACTAAAAAAATAATAAAATAATAAATTAATTAATAAAAAAGGATAAATTATTATTTATGCATGTTTAAGGTTATTTGTTATAAATTTATGTTTTTCTTTTTCTTTTTTTATATTTATTATGTAGTATGTTGTGCTTTTCTTTTCTTTCTCTATGTTTTGTAAAAGTAACTCATTAAAAATAGTTTATAAATTAAATAGTATAACTTAATAAGGTAGTACTTAATGTTTTTGTTTTATTGTTGTTGTTGTTAAAATAAAAAACAGCGAAGACATTTACATTTAATAAATTTTGTTTTTTTTTATTTCAAGTTTTTTTTTGTTGTTAACCCCATTCATCTCGGTGTTGGTGATTGTGGTTACTGATTATTTTTAGGCAGTTTACAGAGGGCCAAACAGATAAACAGCTGGGTGATTATCGGCAGTGTTACCCAAGAATTGGGCGTAAAGTTCCTTGTAACGATCCAAGTTCAAACCGCCAACTTTTCTATCTTCATCCTAAAAGCAGGCAAATAAAATTGTACATTTGTTTTATTAGTGTTGTTAATTTTTCTGGTATAATTAAAGCACTTAAATCAAAAAATACTATTTTTTATTAAAAACCAACAAATTAAGTGCAAATAGTGATATTTCGGTACTTTTTTGCAACATTCTTTATAAATCGGAAACAAATATTATGTTTAATATATAGATATAGTACCATACAGAAAGGTCCATTTGCAAGATTATACCAACAGTCCAATTTTGCAGGAATTTGCAGATATTTTCTGCTTCTATCTCACGAATAGCTCTTACAATAGTAGCCTTAAGTGAGAGGATCGTTTCTGGATTATACACACCGTTTTGGTCTGCGACCTGTAGCAGATAAACGTACATAGTTTAATCGCCTCAGAAAGTGATTCTGAGCCCATTGGTTTACTTTAAGGTGGGTGTAGAACCAATATAGATACCACTATAGTGGTATAGGGTATAACAAGTAAGAAGTCTATATTCACCTTTGCCGAATATTATTTTGAAGCTTGCACTAACATTCCCTTTTTTATGAAATTTTCAGAGATTGTCTTGGGTTTTTGCTCATATCTCCGTTAAGTCTCCCATATGAGGACTTATATGGGGGTAGGGTCAATTATGTCTCGATACTCATAAAATTTGAGAGATTTTGGCTTGTATGAAACATATTTGTGTGGAATTTTTTTGCTGTACTCGTATTTTTAAGACAGTAATGAGCGTTAAAGTATTCTTTTAGGTGACCTTATATGGGGGTAGGGTCAATAATGGACCAATCCTCATAAAATTTAGCAGAGAGATTTTCTCTTGTAACAAACTTATTTATATATGTCGAATTTCATAGCTATACTCGGATTTTTAAGGCATTAATGAGCGTTAAAGTAATTTTCTGAAGGGGACCTTATGTGGGGTTAGGGTTAATTATGAACCGATCCTCAAAAAAATTGGTAAAGAGATTTTGGCTTATATGAAACATATTTACGTCAAGTGTCATCGCTGTATCGCTGTATAAAATTTTACAAAGAGATTTAGGTTCCTATAAAACATGTTTATGCCGAATTTCCTTATAAAATTTTACAAAAAATTTAGGTTTTTTTCACCGCTATAGATGCTTCTTTTAAACAGTTATGTGCTTTAAAGTCATTTTCTGAACGGGTGGGGTCAATTATGGGCCGATCCTTATAAAATTTTACAAAAAATTTAGGTTCCTATAAAACATGTTAATACCGAATTTCTGCACTATAGATACTTCCTTTAGACAGTTACGAGAGTTAAAGTAATTTTTTGGAGGGGCCCTTATATGGCGGGTAGGGTCAATTATGGCCAATCCTTATAACATTTTACAAAGAGATTAAGGTTCCTAGAAAACATGTTTATGCCGAATTTCACCGCTATAGATATTTAGTTCTGAACTAATTTCTATAAAAGTTTATCACGTAGAGTTGAACTTATATATAGTTCACACAGTATAAACGGTCATACAGGATCAATATATTAGATCACACAGTGTGTGCAGAATAGATTTGTTTACGAAAATAAATCTGGCATTTCTAAATGGCTAGTTCGATCCGATAAAGTTTGACATAGGCGTAACCAAGAGTATTGGAGTTTATATTTTGAAAATGGACCTTACAAATGCTCTTTTGGAAAATTTTAGTCTTAGATACTCATTAAATATGTAATAAAATCTTTATCGAAACTAACCAACTAAATCGCTATATTTAGAGCTTACAAATATTAAAGCGCTAAATTGACTTATTTGAAATAGTATTTTAATAAAAAAGGCAATAAATCATTAATCCTAAAACTATGCTATGATCGAACATTGCAAAAATCATTCAAATGAAATAATAAATCACACAATTAAACATCAGTTGATGCTACTTGTATTATAACAAAAAAATACAAACATTTCTTTCTAATAAAAATCACACTTACGGTCAATAAAGATTCGAAAGCCTTATCGATGGGCGCTACATCATCGATGGCCATTCTGGTAATGCAATTGTAACGGTATTCCTCAATGCCTACAATGCCATCACTGTTGATGTCAAGAATTTTGAAATTGGATTCAATAAATGCTTTCATAGCCTATAATATTACAAAAAAAAAAGAAAACATATTTATAAAAATTTTATATTTTTATCGAAGAGTTAAATAATTACAAACCTGTGGGAAATCACTGTATTTCTTGCCAACGCAGGTCTTCTTCACGGCACCTTTGAATTCGGCATTGGAGATTTTTCCATCCTTTATGTGTTTTAATAAAATGTAAATTTAATTTTTATTAATTTATATATTTTAGCCAAATAATACCTTGTCATCATCAGCAATATCGGAAATTTCTTTCCATAAATTCTTCATTAAATTTTTGTATTCAGCCAAACGGGAAGCGCTGCAGTCACCCTTGCCTTCAACAACACAGGCCCTCACAGCCATGCATTGGAAATCGTTTTCATCGAGGACACCATTGTTGTCGATATCTGAAATTTATGAATAGAAGAATAAGTGCATGAAAAATTATGCTTAAAACAGGAGTTTGTAATACTTTTTTAAGTTTTAAAGTGGTTTCGAATTGGAGTTTCTCAAAATTGCATTATCTCAGGGTTATCAATATTTTGGCTTATAAAGGAAGGCTTTATATGGTTGTGAGGGTCAACTAAAGCCTGATCATTATGCAAATCGGCAGCGTTCTTTAATAATGGATGGATTTCACCATAGACTATTGTCTGGTCTATAGTCTAGTCTACAGTCTAGACTATAGTCTAGACCATAATCTAGTTTATTGTCTAGCATATAGTATAGTCTTTAGTCTAGTCTATAGTCTTGTCTATAATCTAGTCTATAGTCAAGTCTATAGTCTAGTCTATAGTCAAGTCTATAGTCTAGTCTATAGTCTAGTCAATAGTCTAGTCTATAGACTAGTCTATAGTCTAGTCTATAGTCTAGTCTATAGTCTAGTCTATAGTCTAGTTATAGTCTAGTCTATAGTCTAGTCTATAGTCTAGTCTATAGTCTAGTCTATAGTCTAGTCTATAGTCTAGTCTATAGTCTAGTCTAGTCTAGTCTAGTCTATAGTCTAGTCTATAGTCTAGTCTATAGTCTAGTCTATAGTCTAGTCTATAGTCTAGTCTATAGTCTAGTCTATAGTCTAGTCTATAGTCTAGTCTATAGTCTAGTCTATAGTCTAGTCTATAGTCTAGTCTATAGTCTAGTCTATAGTCTAGTCTATAGTCTAGTCTATAGTCTAGTCTATAGTCTAGTCTATAGTCTAGTCTATAGTCTAGTCTATAGTCTAGTCTATAGTCTAGTCTATAGTCTAGTCTATAGTCTAGTCTATAGTCTAGTCTATAGTCTAGTCTATAGTCTAGTCTATAGTCTAGTCTATAGTCTAGTCTATAGTCTAGTCTATAGTCTAGTCTATAGTCTAGTCTATAGTCTAGTCTATAGTCTAGTCTATAGTCTAGTCTATAGTCTAGTCTATAGTCTAGTCTATAGTCTAGTCTATAGTCTAGTCTATAGTCTAGTCTATAGTCTAGTCTATAGTCTAGTCTATAGTCTAGTCTATAGTCTAGTCTATAGTCTAGTCTATAGTCTAGTCTAGTCTAGTCTATAGTCTAGTCTATAGTCTAGTCTAGTCTATAGTCTAGTCTATAGTCTAGTCTATAGTCTAGTCTATAGTCTAGTCTATAGTCTAGTCTATAGTGTAGTCTATAGTATAGTCCAAAGTCTAGTGTATAGTCTTGTCTATAGTCAAGTCTATAGTCTAGTCTATAGTTTAGTTTATAGTCTAGTCTATAGTCTAGTCTATAGTCTAGTATATAGTCAAGTCTATAGTCTAGTCTATAGTCTAGTCTATAGTCTAGTCTATAGTCTAGTCTATAGTCTAGTCTATAGTATAGTCTATAGTCTAGTCTATAGTCTAGTCTATAGTCTAGTCTTCTTTATAGTCTAGACTATAGTCTAGTCTATAGTCTTGTCTATAGTCTAGACTATAGTCTAGTCTATAGTCTTGTCTATAGTCTAGACTATAGTCTAGTCTATAGTCTTGTCTATAGTCTAGACTATAGTCTAGTCTATAGTCTTGTCTATAGTCTAGACTATAGTCTAGTCTATAGTCTTGTCTATAGTCTAGACTATAGTCTAGTCTATAGTCTTGTCTATAGTCTAGACTACAGTCTAGTCTATAGTCTAGTCTATAGTCTAGTCTTGTTTATAGTCTATAGTCTAGACCATAATCTAGTCTATAGTCTTGTCTATAGTCTAGACTATAGTCTAGTCTATAGTCTTGTCTATAGTCTAGACTATAGTCTAGTCTATAGTCTTGTCTATAGTCTAGTCTAAAGTCGAGTACATAGTCTTGTCTGTAGTCTAGTAATCTTTAGTATAATCTATTGTCTAGTCTATAGTCTAGTCTATAGTCAACTATAGTCTAGTAATATTCTTGTCTATAGTCAGTAATCTTTAGTATAATCTATTGTGTAGTCTATAGTCTAGTCTAGACTATAGACTAGACTATAGACTAGACTATAGACTAGACTAAAGACTATACTATAGACTAAACTATAAACTAGACTATAGACTAGACTATAGACTAGACTATAAACTAGACTATAGACTAGACTATAGACTAGACTATAGACTAGACTATAGACTAGACTATAGACTAGACTATAGACTAGACTATAGACTAGACTATAGACTAGACTATAGACTAGACTATAGACTAGACTATAGACTAGACTATAAACTAGACTTTAAATGATACTATAGAATAGACTATTGAGTGGACCATTGACTAGACTATAGACAAGGCTATAGTCAAGACTATAGTCTAGATTATAGACTAGGCTACAGTCTAGACTATAACTCTAGTCTATAGTCTTGTCTATAGTCTAGTCTATAGTCAAGTCTAGTCTATAGTCTAGTCTATAGTCTAGTCTATAGTCTAGTCTAGTCTAGTCTATAGTCTAGTCTATAGTCTAGTCTATAGTCTAGTCTATAGTCTAGTCTATAGTCTAGTCTATAGTCTAGTCTATAGTCTAGTCTATAGTCTAGTCTATAGTCTAGTCTATAGTCTAGTCTATAGTCTAGTCTATAGTCTATAGTCTAGTCTATAGTCTAGTCTATAGTCTAGTCTATAGTCTAGTCTATAGTCTAGTCTATAGTCTAGTCTATAGTCTAGTCTATAGTCTAGTCTATAGTCTAGTCTATAGTCTAGTCTATAGTCTAGTCTATAGTCTAGTCTATAGTCTAGTCTATATTCTAGTCTATAGTCTAGTCTATAGTCTAGTCTACAGTCTAGTCTATAGTCTAGTCTATAGTCTAGTCTTTAGTCTAGCCTACAGTCTAGTCTATAGTCTAGTTTATAGTCTAGTCGATAGTCTAGTCGATAGTCTAGTCTATAGTCTATTCTATAGTCTAGTCTATAGTCTAGTTTATAGTCCAGTCTATAGTCTTGTCTATAGTCAAGTCTATAGTCAAGTCTATAGTCTAGTCTATAGTCTGGTCTATAGTCGAGTCTATAGTCTAGTCTATAGTCTAGTCTAAAGGCTAGTCTATAGTCTAGTTTATAATCTAGTCTATAGTCTAGTCTATACTCAAGTCTATACTCAAGTCTATACTCAAGTCTATACTCAAGTCTATAGTCTAGTGAATAGTCTAGTCTATAGTCTAGTCTATTGACTATAGGCAATAGGCTAGATTCGAAGAGTATTTAATGGGTCAATTATGGACTGTGCTTGTTGGAATTGAAGGGTGATTAATTGTTGGTAAAATTTTCACGATTGATGTCAATCATATTACGATTCATCATTCATTTATTAAAATTTTTTTCAGAAACATTTTCAAAGAAATAATAAAATTAAAATTCAGCTGCGAATACTTATTCTACATATTGCAGTTAATAAATTAATCAATTAGTTTACAAGATACAATTCACATATAAATGAGTGTTGTTTCCAACGATGCATGCATGAATGGATGGTTTCATTTATATATAGCAAAAATCTAGCAGTAAATCAAGTTACACCACTACGACAAATTACAGCACTCTGAATAGTGGTCTTTATGTATAAATACATACCCAGACAGTTTTCTTTGTTACTGAAAGACCTTGATTTTTTTGGGGATTTGAATTTATGATTATCATTCCTACATAAAAACATACATACATATCAGTATTTACATTTTGTGGACTAGATTAAACAATAATAAAATCAACAGTATCAGACCATATTGAGGACTAAATAACAACAAAAAAATAATGCGAATAAAATAACAAAAAAAAAAAAATGAATAAATAAATTGGCAAAGACATAGAATTTGTAAAATTTTGTAATTTGTCTTCGTTTATATTTTGTTGCTGCTGCCATGGGTGGTGGTGGTTGGACTTGTTGTTGATCTTGTCTGATGTCTAGTGATATTAAAGGGGGCATTACATTTAAAAAAAAAAAAATAATAAAATTACAATGACCGTGTAAAAGATTACACGATATTATGCATGAATATATATATATATTATATATGATATCATGTAAATTTTAATTTTACAATTAAAATTTATTTCTCTCCCCTCTTCCACTATCAATTCCTTTGGTTTTTGTTTAATCTATTTATTTATTTATTTTTTAAACAATTTGTTTTTGGTCTAAGTGTCTGCTGGTTGGTACCTTTTAAAGATTTTTACTTTATTTGAGATGACGGTGTGATGTGAATTTCAACAGACAGCAGACAATAGAATCTGTTGCCCCAGCAGCTGCCCGGTTAAATATTTGCAACATGTTTTTTTAAGATTATTTTCATTTAATTTATATTTAAATGAAAACATACATATCGTCCACTTAATTTAGAAAAGACGCTACTAACATTAAGAAAGTGTGCTCGAGAAGAAAGAAATCCTATTTAAAACCGAGAGTTATGTGGAATGAAAAGTTTTAAGGAAGTTTAAACTGCTTATTAAACCGTTATTATTTGTCATATGTATTAAAGCAATCTATTGGAAAATACTAAAATAAATTAAATTTGAAAAACAAATGTGAGCTACGACCTTTCTTAATTAAGGTGACGATATAAACTGTTTTAATTGTTAGAAAAACTATATAAATAAAATAAAAACAGCAAATTACGGTCTAGTGAAAATTACACCTTGTTCACCTTTACCTTTAGTAATACAAAAGATGACATTGGGAGCTTGGTCGAACTTTCAGTACACTATCTTATATTATAAAATAGACATGGAAAATTCAGTACTTTAGTACTTTTTGATATCGAAAAATACCGCGGTCTATAGTCTAGTCTATAGTTACAACTATAGTCTATAGTCTAGTCTATATTTACACCTATAGTCTATAGTTTAGTCTATAGTTACCTCTATAGTCTAGTCTATAGTTACCTCTATAGTTTATAGTTATACCTATAGTCTAGTCTATAGTCAGTCTGTAGTCTAGTCTGTAGTCTAGTCTGTAGTCTAGTCTATAGTCTA